CTGACTATGTATTACTGTACAGATGTGTCACACTGACTATGTATTACAGTACAGGTGTGTCACACTGACTATATATTACTGTACAGATGTGTCACACTGACTATGTATTACACTACACTGGGAATTTGACAATTGTACTGATCTTATCATAATTCAGAGTTATAGCCCTTTAAAAGTTTGTACTCAATTGACCTTTTATAAGCAGCCACATATAACACAACGGGACTGAAGGAGTTTGACAATGGGACTGAAGGAGTTTGACAATGGGACTGAAGGAGTTTGACAACGGGTCTGATGGAGTTTGACAACGGGACTGAAGGAGTTTGACAACGGGACTGAAGGAGTTTGACAACGGGACTGAAGGGGTTTGACAACGGGACTGAAGGAGTTTGACAACGGGACTGAAGGGGTTTGACAATGGGACTGAAGGGGTTTGACAATGGGACTGAAGGGGTTTGACAATGGGACTGATGGAGTTTGACAATGGGATTGATTCAATTATAACTGACAAAATTATGGCCCTTTGCAGTTTCATTATCATTAGACTTTGTGAACTAGAAAATTTGATTCAATATGAATAAGTTTTGATAAAACATGGTAAGCACGTTTTTATCAGTATGTTCTTGAACTAGTTTTTACAATGGGACAGATTTGTTTGTAACTTTCTTGCTTTAGCTCTTTGCAAAATACCAGGTAAGCTTGTTTGAGATTAGTCAGTTGTTGGTTTAGGCCTATGAAGCCTCTTGTCAACTATAACATAAAATAATGACTTTTTTATTGGAAATTTGTATCAACCATAATTGAAAGATTCATTGCTGTTTATCGTATTATAAATGTCCATTCCTGACCCCTAGCTACTGATTGCAATCCCCTTCAGTAATCATAATGAAATCTTGAATATAGGAAAAGTAGAGATACATTACCATAGTGCTATTTGTTCCCTTTTTATTACTTGAAAAAGGTACAATTTATGATTAGGTTACATGACAAACAAATCCAATTGTAACTGAAGAACATTTGGCAGATTACACCCCTTGATTGCATTTGCTTAAGAAAGTCTCGATGGTGGAACATCTTGATTGAAATTAGAGCATATGGCAGACTGCATTCCTTGATTGCACTAGCTGAAGAAAGTTGCTGAAGAATATCTGGAAGGTGGCTCCTCTTGATTGCATTTGCTGAAGAAAGTCTATGATATGGCATCTCTTGATTGCTCTTGCTGAAGAACTGGCAAGTGGCACCCCTTGATTGTGCTCACTGAAGAAAGTCTATAAGGTGGCACCCCTTGATTGTGCTTCCTGAAGAAAGTCTATAAGGTGGCACCTCTTGATTGTGCTTCCTGAAGAAAGTCTATACGGTGGCACCCCTTGATTGTGCTTCCTGAAGAAAGTCTATAAGGTGGCGACCCTTGATTATACTTCCTGAAGAAAGTCTATAAGGTGGCACTTCTTGATTGTGCTCACTGAAGAAAGTCTATAAGGTGGCACCTCTTGATTGTGCTTCCTGAAGAAAGTCTATAAGGTGGCACCCCTTGATTGTAGTTGCTGAAGCAAGTCTATAAGGTGTCACCTCTTGATCATGCTTCCTGAAAAAAGTCTAGAAGGTGGCACCCCTTGATTGTGGTTGCTGAAGAAAGTCTATAAGGCGGCACCCCTTGATTGCATTTGCTTAAGAAAGTCTCGCTGGTGGTATGTCTTGAATGAAATTGAAGAACCTTTGGCAGATTGCACCCCTTGATTACTCTTGCTGAAGAAAATCTGGCAGGTGGTACCTTTTGATTACTCATGCTGAAGAAAATCTGGAAGGTGGCACCCTGATTGTATGCGACTTTTATAAAAATAAGTGTAATATCATCCCTTGCAAAAGCGCAAAATCAATGCTTGTAAAGTGACTTTACCACTAACTTATATACACCAGTCTTGTACCCTACTCATGTTTTGTAGACCAGGGCCTGTATTACCATAAATCTTTCTTCTTAGAATCCATTATTTATGACACCACCAATCTTTAATTATTTTAAGAATGATATAAACTCGTGAGAAAAAGATATGTGCTCCTTTTGAACCTTTTAATTTATTGCCAAATTTCTGATGCTTTGAACCGAAAGCATGGTGTCCCTGAAAAGTAGCAAAACAACAAGAAGATGACATTGTGATAATAATCAAACAATTTTTACTGTATGATGTTTTTAGTACAGCTAGCAAATATGTGGAGTTCAAAAATAAAAAAAAAATCAAGGTCACAAAAGCGCCTGGATAAAACATGAGCTATTTCCATCTAGACGATTATCAAGCTTGTTTGTATATGTACCTAGCCCAAGATCTAGTAATTTGGAAAAAAAGTTGGCTAAATAGAGATGAAATGATTTGTAAAAGCAGTAAAAATAGAGAGGAAAGATTGTACATTTTTCAGACTATGGAAATCCTTTTAACTGTGCTTAACACCAGAGATTAACATCAAATAATAATTGTTGAATTAAAAATAGATTTTATCTTGGGAGGAAGTCGTGCGAGCACTACATTCTTTTATCAATTATAACTGTCTGGACTATATTGGATTTTATGATTTTATTGAAATCAACTCCTAGACTGACTTTAAAGAGGATGAGATTATTTTAACTGTTGTTTCCGAAGCCTAGAATGTAAAAGAGAACAAAACCAAGATGATATTGTTTAGTATCCCTTGATGTGGTCTGTCTGTAAATAGATGTGAAAAGTTGGACAGGGCAAAAAATGAGGATAAATTTTTGTTGGGAGTTAATTAATCAGATATCTTACACCAAATAACCCCAATTTTTTTTTTGTTTTAATCCTAAACAGTGTTGCACGAGGAGGTGAATGAAGGAGGGGGGAGGCGGGGGCGAGAAAGATTTTATTAATTGTCCAGAGATTAACATTAAATACAATACATAAAATTAGGAAGGATTATAATATATAAAATAAGGAGGGGTGGGGTGGGGGTGGTGGGTGGGACAGCATTTTAATTGTCCTGAGATTGACATTAAATACTACGTATAAAATAACAAAAATTCACACTTTCCCTCCGTTAGCCCTACTCTTCAGGCCCTTGGCAGTTTGTTGTTGATTTACAATTTAAGTCTATCATTTGCCATGGAAACTTTCTGCAGAATCTTATTGAAACCACTGAAACAATTTTCAAGTTAGAAATGTGAAAATATTGACGGATATAGCACAGTAGGTTAAAAGGCCACTGAGCTTTGCATCGAGCTTTTCTCAGGTGATTATGACCTTATATAGAGTCCATATTGGAGACAAAGAAATGAGATGTTATAAATATAATTTGTAAATTCCATGTATAAGATAGGTGTCCAAAGAAATAAGCCCTTTATAGACATATTTTTTACAATACTGTTGAAATGACTATGAATTTGCAAAATGAAAAAGCTGAACTACTGAATTTTGAAAATGAAAACGAAATTCCTGTTGAACCAATGCATGCCAAATACTCTTAGTGTTATGAAGATATTCCATCATATCTACATCAAGCAGTTGTAATCTTGAACTCTGACCTAGTAATGTTTGTGTCACGAACAGATTTTATGAACATTTGAAGTAATTTCAAGGCCACTGCATATTTGCATTAAATAACAATGTAGGGCGAGACATTAAAATGACCTTCTGTAGGGTCGTCAATTGTCATAACATTGATCCACCAAACAGTGCAGGTGGAGCGGAGAGAATGGTGACCTATATAAATACGTGTACTTACACAATTAACATAAACATGACAAAATCATTAATATGATGTATGTTTGTCCATTTTCTGTACATATACATCTGTAACTACAAAGTTTACATCTTTTGACTCATAGTTTTATGTTTTAAAAAAATCAATGTCTTTCTGCAACATCATAGAAACTTGTAATATATATAAAAACAAACATGATAAAACTTTAGTCCCATAAACAGATTGAAAAAAAAGGGTGAAATAGTTGTACAATTTGTTACGTCAATTTCGCAGACAAAAGATGGTGCTTTCTACATGGAAATTTATGTTCAACCACTTATGAAACAAGCATTTTCATATCCTGAATATTCCCACTAAGATGTTCGCTAAACTGTAGAACACAGCTTTCCCGGCTGCACTGCAGGAAAGGAGTCATGTCGCTTCCTTCTAGGACACTCCAGGAATATATCTAGATTTTTTTTTTGTTTTTTTTTTTTGTATTAAAACATTGTAAGTATATCTCATCCTTACGTAAACAAAGGTTCTCATTTGCATAAATCTTAGTCCATTTCCCTGTCAAATTGAGAGATGAGTCATGGAAGAGGTGACAGCTTCACACCTGGACTACCTGTCCTTAACGAAGGGTAAGGTCACTAACACCTGAACTCAACTGACAAGTTTCCTTCTAATGCAAGTAAATTTTCTGAGATATGATTCGTTGTGAAGCCAAAAGTAATAATTCAGCCTGAAATTTGACTAAGCACAGACAAGGCAAGGCAAACTACAACTCACTTTTCCCTTGTAAGATTCTAAATGTTTGTCTGACAAGAATTTAAAATGAAAGAAGAAATTAGTAAAACTGATTTTGAAGTTATTGAGTATGTGATATATGATGTCCAGGTGTAATGTTGTCTTCGTTCTGTCACCTTCCTCAGACAAATAACCAATGGTGTATGACATTCACGTAATATTTTGTTTCACTGTTCATAAATATGGCTCAATTTAATAGAAAGGTTTTTTTCTTCTGAAACTTGATGCTAACATAATCAAGTAAAAGTGTTATAATCAATCTTGGATAGGGCAGCTAAATATCGGCAACCAAAGGTATCTATGGCAACGATAAGTGGAAAAGCAATCCATGGTTTTAAAGATTTGTGCATATTGCAGAGTTGTGTACATGTATAAGTACTTGACAGGATTTTGGAGACAACAGATGGCAACAGCGATTCCAGCAGTCAGGTTCCTCGGAAATACTGGTGAATTTGTATCAGGGTGTATAAAATAATTTAAAAAAAAAAAAAAAACACAATTCACAAGTTTTCTTACAGTTGTATTCTTCACATATATATAATCTCACCAGCTCATCAATACTAATAACATTATCATCTGTTATCTTTGAACAAAGTCACAATATACTGACAAAAATCTGACAGTGCATGCTAGCCACACGTTAAACATGTAGCTGTAGAACTCTCTTGTGTCTTTTCACAGTTTCACATCCAACTTATTCAATAAAATTATTATGTGATGAAGAAAACTCTAGAAATGACCCGAATGTTGACAGTGAAAATTAATGAACCTCACGTAAAGCCTTCAACAGGATGAAAGTAACACCATGACTTTATATATAATTTTATCACTTTTTCCATGAGCATAATGAATGTCCTGCGTCTGTCCACTTACATTCTTCACACACAACTCCTAAAGACGTTAAATAATACTCGGGGATAATAATTTCCTTTTTAAAAATTTAATTTTTAAAAGGAATTGTTCCTCCATCTGTTAATTCACACATTTTAAAGCATGAATGATAATATTAGGTCCGTAACACAATAAGAATCGCCTGTCCACATGGCACATATTTTGGGTGGTCGGTCCTGACCACTGTGTAGAATGAGAAATGAAACGATGTCACTATAACCACAGGTCAGGTCTGATGGTTATTGGTGTTAATTGTCACATCCTCCCGCGGGTCGTTACTCACACCCGATGATGACGAGGAATTGTCAAAGCTATCCAATGTCACATTGCTGGAAGTTTCTGTGGATGTTTTGCGTTCACGCTTCGGCTGATAGTCTGTAATAGTTACTGTAACAGTTCCCACAGTGACGGCAATTTCCCGTGCACTACTCCGGTCAATATTCCGTAGTCTTGAAGATCTGGAAAAATTAAATCAGTACACTTATTGACTTAATTTACACTGTTCAATTAATTTATAGATCTGAACCTTACATAACACAAAATATTGATTTTTTTATGCCACATCTAATAACTTACTTTAACTTATTAATGTTCCAGAACTTATAGATGCAATCGTATTTCAAACTGACCAGAGTAATGAAAAAGTTTATCTAACAGTTGATAATAGGCCTTGGACTTGGAAATATCTTAATATCAAGACTGACAAATGAAAGGTCATTCCAAGAAGTAAATTACAAGTAAATATCTGAATATCAAAACCACCAAAGGAAAGGACATTTAAAAACAAAGTATTACCAGTTAATATCTTGTTATCATGTCTACTGAATAAAAAGCTCATTTCAAGACAAAAATTATCAGTAAATATCAATATTAAGACTACCAAATGAAAGATCACTTCTTCTAGGTCAAAATGTAGTAGTATAAGTTGTGATATACAAATGAAAGGCTGACAAACCCAGGTAAACTTTTTTTATTTGTTTATGACTTCAATATATTTTTTTTAGATCAGAGCAAGATAGGGATGAATTTGCATTGTAATTTCCAATAGTTTACCAATAACTAGTCACTCTTTTTTCGTCCTGTAATATGCCCTGAGGAGAAAACACAACTTTGACTTAGATGTAAGGGTTGGGATACACTTTGGGACGAATAAACTGTATTCATAAGTATTTTTACCCAACTGCAATAGAAATAAGTGGGTTTATTGCCAGATATGGGCTCATATATACATGTTAAAACAGAAACTAGCTGTTACGTAAGACAACCAACAAAGACCAGTGTCCCACTTCCCACACTCCATGTGACCAACTTCCTACTGTCCTCCAATCTGTCCGATGTTATCAACCCTGTGTATATGACAGCTTCATGAGAAGCGTGTTTTAATTGTCTGACACACCCTGCTCACCAGTTTCTGTCTCTTATTCTGTCACATAGGTCTCTTGTTTCCCTAAGTAGCCTGTGGGAGGTATATGGACCTATGCGTGCTGTCCCCCATATGTAAACCCCTAAGCAGATTGACCACAGTGCATGTACTACCACTTTACAGCAGAGATTTGCGTCTCTGACTGACCGACACAGACCTTCTTGTGGCCAAAGTTCCCTGACCACAACAGTATCATCCATGTGTAAACTATAAATGAGTAACGACTAGTGATATGACATCCACTTGTTACAAGTTCGATGTCTCCACCGTTCACACAAGTTAAACATGCTAAATGTAGATGAGCTCTTCTTTGTACTCCTAAACCTACACCCTACCAGTATTTCTGTGTCTCCTTTAAAACTTATACAAGATTTTTTTAGAACATAGATTGACCTAAAATTCATTATCTTAATTTTTCTTATTATTTTCTCATAAAATGATATCTGTGAAGTAACAACTATAGTGTCTGTCTCAATGTAACTGTCAAAATTTATAGGTTTAATGATATACATCATACATCAATAGAAGGAAACACTGGTAAGACCAGAGTTTAGTGATGAAACGTCAAGATGTTTGTTGTAAAAAAATTGATAAGGTAATGGCAGCTGTAAAGGAAATTGTCACAGACTGTCATACTCCAGGTGATGTTAAGGAAATGCCCAATATCGGGGTGGAGATCTAAATGTGAGTGGAGACTCCCTAAGGATGAACTGAAGTGAGGTGTGTCCAGCTTGTCACCTGTCCCAGAGTCACAGGTAGCAGACTTAATTAATTACGTATTGCTTCATACATCATTTATGATTTATTAAGGTACTTTAGTCCTTCCTCTTTAACACCTAGTACATACAGCATCCATATCCTCCACAAACACTGTTTCTACTTTACCAAATAGAATCAAATGACGGAAGTCACCTTTCACTAATTTTCCAACACAAACAACTTAGAATACAAATGAAAATCACTCCTGAACACAGAATCATAGTAGGACGCCTGTATGGTATATCATGTATTAAATCCAGGGGGCCCACAGTTAACTTCTTCAGAGGAGGCACAAATATTACATTGAGGAAGATTTTCACCAAGCACAGGTTTATTTGTGGATGAACATAGCCTACTGAAGCATATTTAGCAGCCAGATCAGGACTTTTTACTAACCAAAGCAACATCATCTGTAAACAATGTGGCCATAACAACATCATCTGTATACAGAGTGGCCATAACAACATCATCTGTATACAGAGTGGCCACAACAACATCATCTGTGGACTAAGTGGCCATAAAAACATCATCTGTATACAGAGTGGCCATAACAACATCATCTGTATACAGAGTGGCCATAACAACATCATCTGTATACAGAGTGGCCATAACAACATCATCTGTATACAGAGTGGTCATAACAACATCATCTGTATACAGAGTGGCCATAACAACATCATCTGTATACAGAGTGGCCATAACAACATCATCTGTATACAGAGTGGCCCTAACAACATCATCTGTATACAGAGTGGCCATAACAACATCATCTGTATACACAGTGGCCATAACAACATCATCTGTATACAAAGTGGCCCTAACAACATCATCTGTATACAGAGTGGCCCTAACAACATCATCTGTATACAAAGTGGCCATGACAACATCATCTGTATACAGAGTGGCCATAACAACATCATCTGTATACAGAGTGGCCATAACAACATCATCTGTATACAGAGTGGTCATAACAACATCATCTGTATACAGAGTGGCCATAACAACATCATCTGTATACAGAGTGGCCATAACAACATCATCTGTATACAGAGTGGCCATAACAACATCATCTGTATACAGAGTGGTCATAACAACATCATCTGTATACAGAGTGGCCATAACAACATCTGTATACAGAGTGGTCATAACAACATCATCTGTATACAGAGTGGCCACAACAACATCATCTGTGGACTAAGTGGCCATAAAAACATCATCTGTATACAGAGTGGCCATAACAACATCATCTGTATACAGAGTGGCCCTAACAACATCATCTGTATACAGAGTGGCCATCATAAAGAGTGGTCATAACAACATCATACTGTATACAGAGTGGCCATAACAACATCATCTGTATAAAGAGTGGTCATAACAACATCATCTGTATACAGAGTGGCCATAACAACATCATCTGTATACAGAGTGGCCCTAACAACATCATCTGTATACAGAGTGGCCATAACAACATCATCTGTATACACAGTGGCCATAACAACATCATCTGTATACAAAGTGGCCCTAACAACATCATCTGTATACAGAGTGGCCCTAACAACATCATCTGTATACAAAGTGGCCATGACAACATCATCTGTATACAGAGTGGCCATAACAACATCATCTGTATACAGAGTGGCCATAACAACATCATCTGTATACAGAGTGACCATAACAACATGATCTGTATACAGAGTGGCCATAACAACATCATCTGTATACACAGTGGCCATAACAACATCATCTGTATACAGAGTGGCCATAAAAACATGATTTGTATATACAGAGTGGCCATAACAACATCATCTGTATACAGAGTGGCCCTAACAACATCATCTGTGTACAGAGTGGCCATAACAACATTACTTGTGGAAAATGACTTCTCAACAAGCCTGACAATGGGATACAACTTCATGATTCCAATGCAAGTTCGCAATCTGAACACCTTATCTAAACCAGCTTTTCTAGATGCCTCCTACAGCCCACTACCACAAACAGGTAGACTTTTACTTCAGAGATATCTCCTACAGCCCACTACTACATACAGGTAGAGTTTTACTTCAGAGATACCTCCTACAGCCCACTACCATATACAGGTAGAGTTTTACTTCAGAGGTACCTCCTACAGCCCACTACCATATACAGGTAGAGTTTTACTTCAGAGATACCTCCTACAGCCCACTACCATATACAGGTAGAGTTTTACTTCAGAGATACCTCCTACAGCCCACTACCATATACAGGTAGAGTTTTACTTCAGAGATACCTCCTACAGCCCACTACCATATACAGGTAGAGTTTTACTTCAGAGATACCTCCTACAGCCCACTACCACATACAGGCAGAGTTTTACTTCAGAGATACCTCCTACAGCCCACTACCATATACAGGTAGAGTTTTACTTCAGAGATACCTCCTACAGCCCACTACCACATACAGGTAGAGTTTTACTTCAGAGATACCTCCTACAACCCACTACCACATACAGGTAGAGTTTTACTTCAGAGGTACCTCCTACAGCCCACTACCACATACAGGTAGAGTTTTACTTCAGAGATACCTCCTACAGCCCACTACCACATACAGGTAGACTTTTACTTCAGAGATGTCTCCTACAGCCCACTACCATATACAGGTAGACTTTTACTTCAGAGATACCTCCTACAGCCCACTACCACATACAGGTAGACTTTTACTTCAGAGATGTCTCCTACAGCCCAATACCATATACAGGTAGAGTTTTACTTCAGAGATACCTCCTACAGCCCACTACCACATACAGGCAGAGTTTTACTTCAGAGATACCTCCTACAGCCCACTACCATATACAGGTAGACTTTTACTTCAGAGATGTCTCCTACAGCCCACTACCATATACAGGTAGACTTTTACTTCAGAGATGTCTCCTACAGCCCACTACCATATACAGGTAGACTTTTACTTCAGAGATACCTCCTACAGCCCACTACCATATACAGGTAGGCTTTTACTTCAGAGATATCTCCTACAGCCCACTACTACATACAGGTAGAGTTTTACTTCAGAGATACCTCCTACAGCCCACTACCATATACAGGTAGACGTTTACTTCAGAGATACCTCCTACAGCCCACTACCACATACAGGTAGAGTTTTACTTCAGAGATGCCTCCTGCCTACATTAGAATAGGTAAAACTTTAGCTATTTGGATAAATTTGTCCTCTGAAGGAAACAATGCCAAAAGCTAACAAAAGCTGTCACCTAGGGACCAATCAATCCCCACTCTCCTTTTCCCACAAACATACTGTACATCATGTAGTTGGCCATATAGGGGTTTGGGACATAACTGTGGTAAAATTTCATGTCATGTAAAATTCATCTGCCCATTCGTCCGTCCATCAATCCATCCATCCTCTATCCAACAGACAGGCAGATTGACAAACAGACCCTACTTTTAACTGCACTGGAGGGGGAGCTAGAATTTGTTATAATCATTATTGAGTAAGCAGTATGGATTTTATTGGGTCAGGTGAACATTAAGTGGCATTGCCAAAAAAATGGGTGGCCATGGCTAGCTGGTATACTGATTAAATATAATTAGAATGCACACACAAAATATTCTAAAAATTTACAGAATGTTCATCTGCTTAATTAGAAATTACAGGTAAAACATGTCAGACATATTTATAGTTAAATAACTGATGTATCGAATTTATAGGCTATACAGAATGGACATTATCATAAAAATTCAAAGGAAGTACCCCATGAATATTCCACAAGACTAATTAATGAAAGAGAAATGCATAGCCCATAAGAATCTGTTGTATCACAATGTACACTGCCAGACATGGAATTGAATGAAGTGACTGTGTGTTGATTATTACTCAGTGTGATTTATCTTACTGGGTGATGTATACAATGTAATTAACTATATTAGTGATCCAACCTCAAAATCACCTTGCCTTTCCTATTAACAATCTCCTGTGAATTAATTCGTCGACACAAAAATGCCTTAGGCAACTCTTTTGACCTTGAATATTCTAACGACAATTAGTCCAATGCAGTAGTGGATGTACCAGTACCTGGGAGTTTTATGTTTTATTGTAAGTATACATAGATACTAAAGGGAGGGTGTGTGTGTGTGTGTGTGTGTGTGTATGGCACATCACCTTACCATTCTGATATTAGGATGACCTCGACCAGAAAATAAATTTGACCTTTATCTCAGTGACCTTTACCTTGGAAGCAGGGATATTACAATGGTAGGTGACACATTGCCTTTCAATTCTAAATTGTTCTTACTTCATGTGCCACAGAAGTGGGATAGGGGGTATAAAATATTGATATGGTGTGTGTTTATCCACAATGTCTTTGGCCTTTGGATAGCTCCCTTAGCTCCCTTCATCTTCATTCTTCGGTAAAATTTTTAGATTTTAGACTTTTTAGACTATTATTCTATTTAATTAATTTAAGAGAACAGTGAAGGATGACAATGTTATTTATTTCTCTGACTATATCCATTTTATTTATATATTGTGCTGCACCACAAAATGTTTCCACTAAGTTAACGAAACTGTTTAAAAAATATCTATGACTGTATACAAATAGAAAATCTTACAATATCAAATTAATTGCATTCATTTTTTTGTCCTATCCATTTCGTTCCGTTTAGCTTTGTTTCTCTCATTTTCTCCATGTTAACATTCCTTACATACCACAACTTTACGAGTACAGATTTCTGTACCAGTATACTCTGTTGTTAAGTGTATAATGACGATACCTCTCTGACTTATCAATGAACAGAAGAAGGTTTACCTTTGTGGATGTGTATTCTTTTTTGCTGTATTTGTATGGTTCTTTTCTTTTTTTATGTTGATGGTACTGAGGGTGGTAGTTTCTATAGGAGGGGGAGGTAACTCTAAGCGGTAATCCTCCTGGGTGCTATCACTGTCCACTGCTTCTTCCTCTCTTTCCTCCTCATGTTCTTCCCTTTCTTCTTCTTCTTCCTCTTCTTCCTCCTCCTCCTCTTCTTCTTCCTCCCCCTCTTCCCCCTCCCCCAGGGCTCCGTTTTCTAGCTTCTCCTTTTTTGGGGGAGGGGGCACATATTGCTGAGCAACCTGTTGTGCAACCAATTGCGAATTTAATCGTGGTTTTCTGAAACATATAAAAGAATCACAACATTATTTTTCTTGTTATCTAAGTATGTGTAATGAAAGTTCAACAAAAGCTGGCCTGATAAACACATAATAAATTACTACTTGGTCAGTGGAATCAGTTGTAGTAATCAACAACATCAGTATTGGGACTTCCTTATCAGAATGTTCCTGTATAGTACTTACTCAACCAGTCTACAAAAACAGTGAGTTTGACTAGAGCAATTACAGGTACCCAGACAGGTTCAGTTGGAGCAATAACTGTGTTCACTTGTGTCAATGGTAGAAAAAATATTTAAGAAATACAATATCTCACTCATTTTTTTTTTTGTTTTTTTTTTGTTTTTACTCACCAAGGATAACATTTCATCTATGTGTAAATGGCATAGAGGATGGAGTATCAAAATCTGGATTAAGTGGCTTTATTGTAGGTTTACATGTTTTGGTTAGCTGGACTAGCCGTTATGAAAATATTTATTACAGTTATTAAATATTTATAGGACTAAGGTTGAAATCAAATTAAAATTTTATTTTTGTAATATGTACATACACAATGCTGTCATAACTTTGTTTTCTCTAAACCTCATTTCAATATGTGACGGTCATCCATGTTGTCGTGCACTTTTAGGTACGTATTGACAACACCAGAGGCTGTCCGCATGGGATTGCTTCATGTTGCGCATGTGTAAGTCACGATGATCATTGTGTATACATGAATGTCAGTGAGCTAGCTGGACACAACACTACTGCTACTTCATAACCAAATATTAGTGTCTATTGGATCATTCTAATTACAAAATGGCCAACTCATGTAAACTGACTTAACTGCATCTTTTATCATAATACTAACAATGTATCCTTATTAGCAGTTTGACACACAATTGAAAAAAAAGGAAACATAATGATACATTGTTTCAAATTGTCAATGTGAAAATTTGCACTTAATGTATAAAAATTGTCACTTAACATATAAAATTTGTCATACAATGTGTAAAGCTGTTACATAATGCATAAAAATTATCATACTAGGTGTAAAGTTGTCATACAACGTAACATTGGTGCAGTACTCAAAATTGACACACAATTTTATATATTGACATAGTTGTCTGCAAAATTGACACATTATATAATATGACAAACGGTGAAAAAATTGTTGAATTGTGCACATTTCGTTGCTATTTGTACATACAGTTCCCACCGTGAAACAAATCAAACCAACTTATATACATGTATGCAACAAATAACTTGATTATACTATTTTGTAAAGTGCTTCTTTAAAAACAATCTCACTGTAAAAAGCAGCTACTTAATGTCTTAATTACTAGTTATAAAATTACATACAAAATACATGTCATAATAATGGAATAATGTTGCTATGGTGATGAGATTTCCACAACAATGTTAACACAGACAGCTTTCCACCATTTCAAGCGACATTCTGACCCTTTATTATCTACTAATGGCCATCCAAAAGCAATCTTACCACTCTAATGGTGTCATAAAAAACAAATAATTTTTCAGAATTTTTTTTCTAAATTCTGCATGGCACTTATTTTCGAATAGGTTTCATGATATCTAGATGATATGGTGGGACAACCTTACCAGGAGTAGCACTACATTATGTCTCATCTCGCTGTAATGCACATAAAAACCGGCTTAACTCTGTCCAATGAACCACAATTATTCTCAATGTCTGTACATGATTCATAATGACAAAATTCGCTGTATGCAAAACTACGATCACATGTTAATTTTAAGGTGTATATATCCAAATTGACTGACTGTAACAATACGATTTGAATCAATTATTACAGGGCTGATACTATAAGAGAAATTGATGACTACATGGAAGGTAATATGTCGCCAGTCGAGACATTGTAGCCTTAACTGGTGATCGTAACCCACACTCCAGTATGCCCAAACTGACATGAAGACTGGACAAACTGTTAAGACAAACTGCCCTAGGAACCAGCCATACATGTTCAGAAACTTAGTAACATGACTTTTGTTCAAACAGACTCTATATAACTTGACACCAGGTGATATATGTCTCTCTGGTAACCTGACTAATGCTCCCAAAAATCTACCTTGGTAACTTGTCTAATGTCACCCTGGTAACATTGGCAACATGACTCTCCCTGAAAATCTACCTTGATAAACTGACTAATTTCTCCTTGATAACATGACTAATGTCACTGACTATCTATCCTGGTATCTTGACTAATGTCCCTGACGATCTACCTTGGTATCTTGACTAATGTCCCTGACTATCTACCTTGGTATCTTGACTAATGTCCCTGACTATCTATCCTGGTATCTTGACTAATGTCCCTGACTTTCTACCCTGGTATCTTGACTAATGTCCCTGACTATCTACCTTGGTATCTTGACTAATGTCCCTGACTATCTATCTTGGTATCTTGACTAATGTCCCTGACTATCTACCTTGGTATCTTGACTAATGTCCCTGACTATCTACCTTGGTATCTTGACTAATGTCCCTGACTATCTACCCTGATATCTTGACTAATGTCCCTGACTATCTACCTTGGTATCTTGACTAATGTCCCTGACTATCTACCCTGGTATCTTGACTAATGTCCCTGACTATCTACCTTTGTATCTTGACTAATGTCCCTGACTCTCTACCTTGGTATCTTGACTAATGTCCCTGACTCTACCCTGATATCTTGACTAATGTCCCTGACTCTACCTTTGTATCTTGACTGATGTCCCTGACTATCTATCCTGCCCTGTATTTTGACTAATGTCCCTGACTATCTATCCTGTCCTGTATTTTGACCAATGTCCGTGACATATCACCCTCCCCTGGTAATAGACAAGAATTTTCTACATGATATGTTTGTATCTAGGTGACAAGGCCAGCTCTCTACTAGCCACTGCCATCTGTCTTCAACATTAGCCATCAAAAGACAACAAACCAGGAAACAGAACACACCTCAATCCTGCACAAAATAATAAACACTTAATTAGTGTAATTACATGTATAGTGAAAGAGTCCATGTTCTTGCATCCAATGCTGAAACCACACCACATCTGGCAGTACTCCAACTGGGTAGGGATCGACCTAGTCTCGCACACCTTACTGCTGCCATAATTAACTAACTGGGGGACGGAACAAGCCCATTCCAGCCTCACTCCCATCCGAGAGAATCAAGAATCAGAATCACCCACCAATGTGGCTTTGATGCTACCAAGTAGCTAGGGAATAAATAGCATTTGTTGAAGATACAGCTAACAGCCTGCTTCTTTTTTCATAAATGATTATTCCCTTATAACCACACCTTATCAAATTCAATACAAAACCAAATGACTGGTATTAATATCATTCTGAACAGGAAGGGAGTGGTACACACACTACAAGGGGTAAAATGTCAAAGCTGGCCAAAAGGTTGTGTTTCTGAGTGTTGAGTGATTAATCATTAATTAGTGCTTTATGTCAAATATAGCATGGATGAGACAGTAAATCAAGAAGCCTAATGGACCTGTATCCCTCACCTGATATTCACAAATCCTAGAACATTTGGATTTAAAAACTGGTCAACATGGGATATATTACTAATGGACCTTGTTACGGACACATTCAGTAAATACAATTTGAATATTTTATGCAATTTGACTCCAGTGACCTTGTACACATGTCAAGGCCCGTTACCTTTTTCTACTTTTTTCCGCCTTCATCACATCTACCAGCCAAATATTGTGAACCAAAAGCTCTGCCTTCATCACACCTACCAGCCAAATATTGTTAACCAAAAGCTCTGCCTTCATCACACCTACCAGCCAAATATTGTGAACCAAAAGCTCTGCCTTCATCACACCTACCAGCCAAATATTGTGAACCAAAAGCTCTGCCTTCACCACACCTACCAGCCAAATATTGTTAACCGAAAGCTCTGCCTTCAACACACCTACCAGCCAAATATTGTGAACCGAAAGCTCTGCCTTCACCACACCTACCAGCCAAATATTGTTAACCGAAAGCTCTGCCTTCAACACACCTACCAGCCAAATATTGTGAACCGAAAGCTCTGCCTTCATCACACCTACCAGCCAAATATTGTTAACCGAAAGCTCTGCCTTCATCACACCTACCAGCCAAATATTGTTAACCGAAAGCTCTGCCTTCATCACACCTACCAGCCAAATATTGTTAACCGAAAGCTCTGCCTTCACCACACCTACCAGCCAAATATTGTTAACCGAAAGCTCTGCCTTCACCACACCTACCAGCCAAATATTGTGAACCAAAAGCTCTGCCTTCATCACATCTACCAGCCAAATATTGTTACCCTTGGCCTTTTGGTTATCACCAGTCTTCTTACAAAAAAAAATATTAAACTCTGTGACCTCTAAAAAGGTCAAGGTATTTCAGTTTGCAAAATTCACCAGCCTTTCTTCCTCGAACGTACAAGTCAAAAATCATGAATATATGTCATTTTGAGAACAGAAAAATAGGTTTGAGTGATCTAGAACTTTTGACACCTTGACCTTTGATAATCAGAAGTTGTTTGAATTTGCTCCTGTGGCCTTGAATATGGTTCAAAAACACTTTTTCACAAACTTTGTCAGGTTTCTTCCCAAGAATCTACCAGGCAATATAAAGACTTTTGGCAACCTTATTGAGAAATCTTTTTAAAGGAGACTTATGTTTAGTTTAACACAAGAATGTTCCTGGTCCTATGAAAACCAGGACCTGGTTATGTTTTAGTTTAACACATGAATGTTCATGGTCCTATGAAAACCAGGGCCTTGTTAAGTATAAACTTTTGATAGTGTTATGATACTAGTGGGTAGTGTATATGAACCAAATCTGATGAGAGATTCTCAAGATCACAGAATCATTCAATATGGGGTTGATAAACTAACAATGATTTGCAAGTTTAATTCTTTTTTCTTTTTTTATAAACACATCATTTTTTTCTTGGCTAAATTATGTCATATATTCATCACCAACAACTGAAAATTATATTGTAATAT